GGGGTGTACAAGCAAGCAAGCCTGGAGTGTGGGCTTCAACTTGAAAACACTGAACGATAGTATTGCTGTCTGGTTAAAACAAATGAGATCCTTGTTTCTGTCTGTGACACATGGAGCTAGTTGACTAAAGCACAAGTGGGTGTTTAAACCTGATTTCCACTTCAGTCTGTTTTAAGGTGGCATTTCATAACCCAACCTTAACCTTCGAGCGTTATCAGTGAAAGCAAAGGATCTAATTAACATTTCAGGAAAAAAAAAAGCTGAACCTAATAAGACTGAAAGACCCAGGTGTTTGAAGTTTTAATATGTCAAGGCTTAAAAAGTTCAAATGACACAAAAACCMTGATGTAAACAACAAATCTGATTTAGTTCTTCAAAGAAAAAGCTGCTGTACCTCATGCTTTTTCTTTCCATGCAAGCTTGAATTGGTCTGGCCCCCTGTCTAATGTCTCTTTCTGGTTATGTAACAGTCAGGGGCCTAAATGGGAAATACAGCACAGCTACAGCAGACACTGCAAGCCATGAAAAACAGAAGACGGCAGATAAAGACGACACAAAAATTATTTAAAAAAAAAGAGCTGAATGGAAACTTATGTAGCAAACTGCACTGGTGGACTGGAGAGGAGCAAAGGTGCTTAACGTTTGTACCAGAGCGATCCTTCCACTGTTATATAACACCCTCATGAATTTTTGCATAATAAAYCGTTTTCTAGTTCAGTAGCTCTTCATGTGAGCCTTCATTTTGAAGTGTTGGCAGCCAAAGTTTCAAGCTTTATAGAGATCAGTGGAGYGAGTTGTGTGATAGCTAGTGGTGGGGGGAACAAAGCTTTCTCCAGAAACTTTAAAGCAGAATATTACATTTTTATTCAAATTGCCATGTTTTCACATTAGGTGCAAAGTTATGTCAAAATACCAACYTGGTTTTAATGATGTCTTTTGTTCTTTTTTGACAGGCGGACTTCTCCACAAACTGGAATCTGAGCTGAAGAAGCAGAATGGCTACAGACATTAAACATCTGGATTTATACTTGCTTTGATAATCCCTTATAAACTGTTGAAGACATTTGGAAAAAGCCATCCCTTAAGAGGCCTACAGAGCTGACTTATTTTCCCCGTGTGGATCATACCTGAGAGGTTGCCATCATGCCRATTCTCAAGCAGCTGGTGAACAATTCCAACCAATCAAAGCGGAGGTCTCGAGCTGACCTGACTGTTGAGATGATCAGTGCTCCTATGGGGGACTTCCGTCACACCATGCACGTGGGTCGAGCAGGGGATGCGTTTGGAGACACTTCATTCCTCAGCACCCGATCAGGAGAACCCCCCAAGGAGTCGAACAAAAAGCAAGGTTCTCCGAGTTCCAAACCAGGGCTGCTAGCCCGCACTTTCAGAGGCAGCAAGCGGTCTCAGTCAATAAATCGAGCGGACAGGAACGAGTACACCTTGTCTTCTAGTAGCTCGTCTCAGTTTGTGAAGAACGCCATATCCCTGCCTTACCTGAACGAGGAGAAGTCCGACAGCGGCGTCACCAACCAGCTGCCCAAGAGCGTCTCCTCCAGTCCCATGAAAACGCTGGCAGAGACAGAAAACAGGCCCACCAACAAAGCAGCAGCAATGGCAACACTAGACGTGGAGCTTGATGAGAAGAATTTTGGCGAACTTAAAGACTTGCCTCCGTCCATGCCTAAAGGAGGCGGAATAAAGCACGCAGAGTCCATGATGTCCTTCCACATCGACCTGGGACCCTCGATGCTCGGAGACATCCTGGGTGTGATGGAGAAGAAGACTTGGGAGGAGGACGACCAAGGCTARGAGGAAGGCAAGAGCAGTGAGGGCTACACATCCCCTTCCCACATTCCCCACATCGATGACGACGATGCTGAAGAGCAGGCTCCTTCAAGACCGCCTCGCAGCACCCACCCGTACCGCACCGCCGTGGATCCCTACACTCCAGAGCTGAACGTCCGGAACAACCACCYCAACATGGATAGCTACTCAGTGTCCAGCTCAGGTTCAGAGAAACCTCAATACCCCCTACAGGATGGTGACACAGACAGTGCAAAGTACAGTTCACCACATGGAGAAGATGAGTTTACCTTTATGGACGAGGATGATGATGAAATCAGAGTGTAAACGAAGGTTTCACTGCCATAAACAATCTCYCTCGTCACTAAAGACAAAAAAGAAGAAAAAAATTACAGATTTTGGAAAACTAAGCAGGGTTTTCAGTCAGGGTCACACGAGGTTTCTACTTATACATCAGTCTAATATCAGAACACTTTACTCAACACTAAATAAAACATACTAGGCCMTTTTGTTGTGCTGTAGTAATAAAATGTCTGAGAGAAAACAGGCTTAAAAATAGATTTTTACAATGTTTGGGTTAGTCTCAGCACATAATTATCATTTTTACAAAAAAAAATTATAAAAATCTTGGGTAGACTTTACTTATTTAAAAAAAGATGTAAAAAGTGAGATCAGGATGGACACCGTGGAAGTGTTGTCAGATTCTGAAAGTTGAGGTAAATGACATGAAGTGAAAAACATTTTTTAATCCCAGTGGGTGGCAGTGATCGTGGAGCCAATGACACTGTTTTGGCAGAGACATAACCCAGATTACTTTCATCCACGTCTGTTGAAGGGTGGTTCATGCTATTTTTATATTATGTGTAWATGCAGTATCTGGAAGTTAATCCACAGTACTTGAGTTGGGTTAACTCTTTGGGAAGATCTGTATTTTTTAATCTGAGACATCTGCTATTTTTGTTGTCATAAGGGATGGATTAGTCTTAATGTGAACTGCTAAGTCTTTAAAAGTGTTTTTGTAAATCTGACAATAGATGGTACTACAAAAATAATTATTTTTTGCATATAAGTTGACCATGTGACACTACGTACTCTTAAGTAAACGTGATTTTTTTTTTACAATTGAAATAAAAAGGCCTTTTCACCAGTTGCAGCTTATCGGTGTATTTTAAAAATGTCTGTCAGGTCGCAGAGTAACAGTGGATCAACTTCTCTGCACCACTTTTCTTCTATAGATGCCCATTGACCACATATAATACTAGATATTTTATATAATACTAGATCTCTTATGAGATCTCAGACGTTGAAGTCTAAGGCCCTGTTCACACGAGAGCGGTCWGTGGAAATGCTGGTGGTTTTTCAGTGTTTGGGGCTAATAAACAACAAAAAWKKCCCCGTTTACATAGAACTGCTGCAGGTGTGTACCAGGCCTTAAGGATAAAGTTGTACTGTCCCTTTAACTTTATCTTTTACCTAAGCTGCATGCTCAAAGGATGTTAGAACATAAGGTGTGTGTTTATTGAAAATGAGCACAGAAAAGGAGTGGCAAAAATCAAACTTTTGATTTTATCTGGCAACCCTGGTCTCACAAATAAACTAATGTTCCTTTGGACCTGGGATGTTTTTGCTTCTTCATGCTGCAGAGAGAGACACAAAAAACACTCTGTTTTAAATTTATTGTAATTATTGTTAGAAGAAACTTTCGCTTTGCTTTTTAACGAAGYTTAAACAAACACCTTATAATCCAGTTCCTGTTGGCTTCAGTTTCCCACACTGAGATCTAGGATTATATCGTGGTCAATGTTGATGCACACAATGGGTGCATCAGGCTTGATGAGATGTAATGAGGACTAATATGAACTGTAAAAAGGCCTTTTTTCTTGTACTTTTTGTTTTTTAAGAAGACAAATACAGTGTTTGTGTTAAGATACGTGAATGTGTTCTGACCTGTAATTCCACWGCATTAGGCAGGTCAGTAGGAATCAGTAGCGTTAACATGGAGATTTGAATCCAGGCTTGTTTGTGAGGACAGGAAACAGGATGTAACAAAATGTACAAGAGCAGGTACCTGAAAGAAAAGCAGAATGTCTCTGAGCTCTGAGGATGAAATATATTTGCTGAGCTGACTCCCAAGGTGATACCACTGACCTCCTCCACATAAGTCAGTTCACATGGTAGGAAGAGATGATTAAATCAACCAATCACCTGGCCTTTTCCAGTCTGTTCATTAAATGTGCTGGATTATGTGGCCCCAACCAGCTGGACCTGCTCCAGGAACAGACAGGTGGGCTCGGTTTTTTTTTATTATCTGTTTTCCACCACAGTTGTAAAGCTCAGCTATATCCATGAGAAATACCAGACCGTTTTGTTTTAAGTTAGAAAACTAATTGTTTGGCAAATTGTGGTACGTCACATCTGGAATTTGTGGAGTTCTGWTTTCAGCTGTTGGAACAAGAAACAGGTTGAAGCTTTGAAAACTGAAGGTTATTTGCAGAAAACTGCCAAGTATGTGTTAACTGGGTTGGAGCCGGACGTTAATACAGACACTAAGTATATTTAATTTATGTTGTATGAACTAAACTTATTTAAAAAAAAGGAAAAACAGTTACTCTACTTTAGCAGCAAACTAAAAACTTCAGCTAAGTTTTGTTTCAAAAGACGACGGGGGGTCGAAGCCAAATAATGTAACAGCAGCATTTTCTGAATTGATCTTATGTTTTCCTGCTGACTTTAATATTTGTTTGTACACAAACACAGTATCATTAAGGAGCTCCAGTTCACTCAAAGGGACGGTTAGCATGGATTTAGTTGTATCTTTCTTCAGTGTTGACGTGCGTTAAAATTTGTATCCAACTTTTCAAGTATTCGGGCCACATTTTGAGATGTTTTATTGAAAAGMACACTTAAAAAGTAGTGGTGTCTGGACCGAGGCAGCCTGTGATGCTCACCTAACATCTAATGTACTTTGCTGAAGTGTGTTAAGTGTCAGTTTTTAAACAGAAAGAGGGGACAAAAACCACTCCTTACCTGTTGGTTTTTCAGTCAAGCGGTYTAATTAGTGCCTCTGATGATTCTGGAGAAGCAGTGCGACCGGGCTGAACTAAAGGTGGAGACAGAGGAAAATAGAACATTTGCGGTCAAACTGCATTTTCAAGTTTTAACAACCTACAAGTCATCAGCTCTTTACACAGCTGGCTCATTAGAGGAATATGAGACACGAGATACTAAATTGCACTGAAACACTTCCTTGTAATTGTGTGAGCTGTCTGCCATTTGTTGCACCAATGTGAGCCCGAACAAACATTAAAAACTTGCCGTCTCTGAGGTCTGCTCAAAGGTTTTCTTCTGTGACAGCAGTGGTTTAGTAAAGTGCAAAAAAAAGAAGATAAAATGGAGAAAAACAACTTGGTTCAAAGTTAATCTGTAGATATTTTCCTCCAGTGGCTGTAGCTTTACGCCAAGTATGAACTATTTGTATTCTTTTTTCCAAATTTGGAGTTTACTGTATATTAATATATTCACCTCCCTAACTTTCCTGTCTTTGAAATAACAGCTTTATTTTTCAATAAAAGAGAAAGCTGGTCATCTTTGCCTCAACTGTTTCGCAGTCTTTTATTTCTCTGCAGTTCTCACCACAGGATGCCACATTTTCATGCTTGTTTGTGACGTAAAAACAGGCAGAGCGTTGATTGAAATGTGACCTTGAAATGGCCTCAAATGTCTGGGAGGGACCTGCTGAAAGAGTTTCAGCTCTGTCCAGAGTTTAGACGAAATAAAAAGTTAATAACGCTCGGTCAAATTGGATTATTATTCACAAACAARCCTGGAATTAAAAGTGAAACTTGCTCAGATTTACTGTTCTAGGCAACATYAATCCTGGGAGCTGATTGAAGCCCCCAGCCTTCTGTTAATAAAACAAAAATCAACTGTTTCTCCCACCGCCTTTCAGGCCAGAGTTTTAGACCACAACTGTGTTTTATTGAAAAAAAAATAAAAGTATCTACTTTGGTCAAATCATCTCTTCTGCTTATCATTAGTCAGGCTGAGGAGGTAACAGGTCTAGATGAGAAACTCAGACATCCCTCTCAGCTTTCCAGCTCATTTTTTGGGGGATCCTGAGTTGTTCCTTGGCCAGAGAAGGTACAGAATCCCCCTCGCCGTTGTCAAGCCTCACGATTCGGTTCTCTGTCTCCATCCCTTCAGCAAGTCCCGAGTCTTCCATAGAGCCTCCTAGCAGTGGGACGTGCCCAGAACTCCTCTAAAGGGAGGCATCCCAGTAAGATGAACCACCTCAACTGACTCGTTTCGATGCAGAGGAGCAACAGCTCTGCTTGGAGCTCCTCATCCTTTCTCACTGAAGCAACACCCTCATTACTGCGGATGAGAATCCAATCTGTTGTTCCYTCTCCCGCTCCATCCCACAATCAGTCAGGAACAAGACACCCAGATAACTCCTCCACCTGAGGCAGTGACACCGCCACCGTCAAAAACATTTTGCACAATCTGCTCCTGTATCTGTCAGGATTTATCAGTGCTAGGAGTGTATGTTGTGTATGACTGTCGGATACGTCAAATCTGAGCTCAGTATCTGCTGAGTTCACTGAGGTTTAGGCTGAGATCACGATCCAAAAACCAACTCCAGCAGGGGAAACCATGGAACAATACTCACTAAAGAGTTGCAGGAAGCTGGTGCCTGTCTCCAGCAGAGTCACCAGTCCATCACAAGACCACAATCAACTATTCACACACACACACACACAGAAATTAGAATTGCCAATTAACGCACACACATTGTGGACTGTGGGAATAAAACTACACATCAGTAAAGTACATCAGTGCTGACCAACCAACCACGTCTGCTGCAACTCTGTTGTTTTGCTTWGGAAAGAAGTTTTATGTTTTTTATAAATATATGATTTTACACATAAACCAACAGAAGTTGTGATACTGGTGCTCAGTAATACATTATCTGAATGCTTATTTAACTATTGTTCGAAAATGTCTGAATTCAGGGCTGTTCTACAGGATGAGGAGGTGCTCGTTATTTTATGTGGCACTGTCGCCCTCTAGTGGCAAATTGCAATCTTTGAATTAAACCTGGTTATTATTTTTTATTTTTACATTCCTTGCCGCTGACAATAAAAATGTTATATTCAGTTTATTTATARGGAAACAATTTACTACAAAAAATCATCAGGTTGTACTAAACCGGTCACATTCATTAAGTGCCAGTTATTCTGTAAAGTCAGCAGATTGTGTCAAACAACTTCTCTTGAACTATTCTTATTGAACAGGAAGTAYTAAAGCTAATATTCAAGTTTAAACTGTTCGTGGCAGACAGGAGGACCAGCAGGGATTTTAAATGCAACAGAACCAACTTTAACACCCAGAGTTACCCACTGTGGCAGATCTGAGTGGGCCATTTTTAGTCCAGTCTAGTATAAAAATAACAGATCACATCTCCGTCAGACAGTACTTACAACTCTCCAAATGATCCAACAGAAAGTTCTGCAACAAACAAACACAAACATCCCAGTAAAACCTCATTCTGACACAGACCCCCCACAGGTCCACTGTGCTGGAGACACTCTGACCTCCAGGGTTCGAGTGAAGACCAAATTAAATTAGAATCCACTAAATTACTGCTCTGCCCTTAAGAACATGTTGTCTACACCACACAGAGGAAGGAGCACTGGAGGTATCAGATTATTTTCAAACTGGGCCTTTAGTCATAAATCTGCTGTGTTTCAGAACAGACTCACCGGAGCGACGGAGTGGAACGCTCTGTTCCTGCCAGCAAGAACAACACAACCTCTGAAAACTGTTCTAACGCCTGTTTGAAGACGTTTTATATTTGACAAACATTACATATTAGAGTGTTCTACAGCTGTGAAACAATACTGAAGACCGCTGCATACATTTATACACATACACCGATAGARGTGTACTTATACTCGTATATACAGGTGCTGGTCATAAAATTAGAATATCATGAAAAAGTTTATTTATGTCAGTACTTCCATTTGAAAGGTGAAACTTGTGTATTATATACATTCATTACACACAGACTGATATATTTCAAATGTTGGTTAATTTTGATGATTATAACCGACAACTAATGAAAACCCCAAATTCACTGTCACACATTAGAATATTACTTAAGACCAATAAAAAAGGGATATTTTAGAAATGTTGGCCAACTGAAAAGTTTGAACAAGAAAAGTATGAGCGTACAGCAGATGACCCAAACCATCACTGACTGGAAACTTTACACTGGACCTGAAGAAACYTGGATTCTGTGCCTCTCCTCTCTTCCTCCAGACTCTGGGACCTTGATTTCTAAAAGAAATGCTAAATTAACTTTCATCAGAGAGCATAACTTTGGACCACCCAGCAGAAGTCCAGCCCTTTTTGTCTTTAGGCCAGGCGATGCTTCTGATGCTGTCTGTTCAAGAGTGGATCGACACAACGACTCTGACAGAAACCCATGTCTTCATACGTCTGTGTGGTGGTTCTTTTTGGATGGCCTCCCTTCTCCCCTTAATGCCATCCTTTCCACACCATTATGTTTTTTTTTTTGTGAAGAGAAAAACAGAGAGAGAACTAA